CTTGAACAATCTGTCATCTTATTCAGCTGTACACATATGTGTAGGAGTAAGCCGTCTTCCATAGAGCCTTCTATAACACGCAAACTCCTATAACAAGCAACTTGCAGTCTTTTATAAAACAAGGTGACAGAATAGCATAGTGTTGAAGAGACCAGGCTGTATGACAGACTGCCTGGGTTTCTACCAAGGCCCTAACAATGTGACTTCAGGCAAGGCACAAAACCTCTCTGCTCTTGTGTTTCCCAGTGTATAAAAGGGAAATGATAACAGCATCTACCTCAGAGAATGAGTGTAAGACTTCAATGAGTACATATAAAGTACTTAGAAAAGTGTCTAGCACACAGTAGATAACAAATGTCAGTCATTATTATCTTAGATTAAATAATAAAACTTGCAGATAAAATCAGCTATTAAAATTTATGATCTATTTTAAAGAACACATAAAATTATTTCAGAAAAATTAGAAGTATAAACAGTAATATTTTTAGGTTTATGCTTCAGCCCCTAGTGGCACTCTAAAACACCGAAACTGTACCTGGAGGTAAAGCATTCCTATACTACTGATCTTAAAAAAAAGGGTCACAGGTTACCTCATCATAATAAAAATACTTGAATATCCATATATAGTAAGCTCTAGCAGCCATACTGTTATTGGCATGGGGTATATCCTCAATAATTATTTTTCATTAGAATAAATAAACTGCTCCACTTATTATACCAAGCAAGTTTGGTATATAAGATCTTCAAGAGTAAAATTTTCTTCGCTAAAATGTACAGGTAAAGATGTCTCTGAGCATCCTCCAACTATAGCAACTATAATACATAATGATTTCTGTGGGATGCTCTGCTGCTTTGCTGGTCTCTATATGACCTGACCTGATTAATTTCAAAATGAAAGGAAACACAATACATTATAGTACCTGTACCAATTAAGTAACTGATTAACTGAACAGTATGAGCCTCATGGAGGATTATATATTTCTCAATTCCCTCATAAAGGATTACATATTTCTCAATTCCCTCACCTCAGCAGCACTATGCCAAATCTCCCTTCCTAGCTGGGGTGGATTCCTGAAAAACATCTGGAACAGATCCCAGAATTTTCAGGCCACTTTCAGCTATTAAAAATCTACCCAGTTTAAAATACCAATCTAATGCCCAAAGCAGGGCTCTCCTCAGGGAATCTCCTGGCTCCAGGGTCCCTGGAAATAGGGAGTCCTTCCAATGCCCAAACTGAGAGTGTAGGCGATCGAAGTCTCTCGTGTCTATTGCCTACTTCTCCAATTTTCTTTATGCTTGCTCATGTGGGTGTAGGGTACAGCAATAAACGCATGCCTACGATATTTCTTGCTTCTTGCAAAAGAGAAGACATTTCTCGCAAGCAACAACTCCTATCTTTGGGAGGTCTCCTCATTCACTCCTCCTCCCATGCCAGCCTACAGGAATGAAGTTGGGTAAGGGTGAGTGGTTAGTTCCTGGGCTGGTTCCTGGCCCTGTGTTCACACAGCTTAAAGCTTCCTGTTTAGAGGGCAGAAGAAAGAATGGTAGAGGTAAAACTAATTGCCCAGTTATTTCTTTTTTTTTTTTTTTTTGGTGTGTGTGGGGGTCTATTCCTGCTAACTCTACATATAAGACTAAATGACCTTGTCATGGGATGCCAAAAACAGGGACGATATACAAAATATTTGACAGGAAAGGGTACCACACAATCAGAAGGGATGTAATCTCAGGGCTGGTACATGGTCTTACAGGCCGCTTGCTATGTCCCCTAGTTGCTGGAAGGATCAGGGAGCCCAGAGGTGCTGGGAGAGTTGCTCCAAGGGTTCTCAAGGGGTTTGGGTCACAGTCTGCTTGTTCACTAACAACAGGAAGTATTCTGGTACCAGGGCAGCTGTACTGGTATAAACCAGCTAAAAATCACTCTTGCCTGTAGAAACTCATTATAGTATCCTGAGCAAAGCTATCTCTATTGAATATTTCCTAATGTGAGACTATCTCAGGCCTGCCTCCTCTGCCAACTACTCCCCATGACCGTCCCATGGCTTACTGCCTGACCAAACTGAACTACTTTCTACTTATCTACTTGACCTCTGGAAAACTCACAAACCTTGAGTGCCAAAGCAGAAAGTGCAGTAGGCTATTCCAAGTCTCGCCCTGCTGCCATCTTCCTCTAGCTCTTTTTGCCTGCTCAGGCAGCAGTTAAGTCTAGGTCTAAAACATTTCTTGCTTCTCATCAAAGAATGAGAAGACACTTCTTGCAAGTACCACCCCCAGTCTTTAACAGGGGTTCTCTAGGAGCTGCCTTCGCTTTGCTTGACAGAGGGCAGGGGTAAAAAATGGAAAGTACTTGCCCCTGTTCCTCTTCAGGACAAGGAGAAAAGCTAAAATATTCCAGATGACTGGATAGCCTATTCTTTCCATCCATGCCCCCCCCCCCCCGCCCCACACACACACACTGATGACTTAAGGGGTTAGGGAGGGAACAAGGGGAGAAAACTCTGCAGTGGTTTAGTAGGGGATTAGGGATAGTAGCTGGATTAGGTCATGTCTCTTTAAATTCCAAGAGAAGGGTCTAGTCCAGATTAAAGGTGGCTTCTTGGTGGCTTTCTCTTTGGAATGTATGAATTTAAAACTGTTCCTTCAGATTTCAGACAATACTACTAATTCTGGGAACCATCAATTTTGGGAAACAAAAAAAATCCTCCTCAATATACTGTTATACTTATTTAAAGAGGCACTGACATAACTGAATTTTATGTTTTGTTCAAGAAAAATAAACTTCAAATACACATGGAATAAAAAAAAATTGAGGAAGCATATTTCTGCTGGTGATTATTTGAAGATGCCGATTAATCCACTGAACACATTATTTATGTTTAACTAGAAACTTGAGAAGACTTTAGGATGTTATTCTAAAATATAGTCTATTAGCTTTATGGTATATTCATGTGGTACAAATAATGTGAGAAAATTTTCTTGGTAAATTATTTTTTAGCGACCCTGTTTCTTCAAAAGCATATATTTTACTCAGAAGTCAAAAGAAACTAAGTCTGAGTATAAGCTGATTTGCTATAATTGGAATAGGCTTAATGCAGTCATTTTACCCCTTTAAATTATGATACCAGCATTCAAACATCTGTTAAACCATAGCATCTGTTTCATATTTGGGCTACATCCCTACAAATTAGAAGAGTGTTCTTTTTTAATGAGCTATGATTTAATAGGGAATCCTTTTTTATGACATGCCAAAGAAAGGAAATGAGAAGACAAATTCATCTCTCTAGCATTCCCCCACCATAGCAAAGTATCTCAAAGATCCATACATTTCTAATACAAAACTGTCTAATACAGATATATTGATATTGAAAGTTAGGGTGTCTTACAGTATTGTTTAATATTTTAAAAACCATGTGTATCCATTCATCTATCAAGGGATGGATACTTAGGTTGCTTCCTATCTCGGCTATTATAAATAATGGTGCAATGAACATAGGGTGCATATGTCTTTTTGAATTAGTGTTTTAGTTTTCTTCTATACTTAAATAAAAAATAATAAAAAATAAAAACTGTATGTATATGTTTGTATATAAGTATACACATACACACAACCAGGAAATGCAGAGGGCCATACAGTCCTAATATCCAAGAAAAATAATCACTTCTTTCAAATAAATTGTCTTGACAACCTACATAGTCTTAAAGAGACTAGACAAATTCACAACCTCACAGTCTCTCTGTTTACAGTTCTAACTCCAAAGGCATATTGGCTGCCAAATCTTTACCATTTCAGTTCTATCTGAAGTAGTACTTTGCCACTGACTCACCAAGTTCCTTTTAAAACTATTCCCTATGGTCTTCACAAGTTTTCTAGTCATTCACAGACCTCTATTTGGGTCTGAATTTATCTTACACAAGAAGCATGTCAGCTTAATGACAACAATGGGTTAGTTTGTTCCACTGTTTGTACTTCTTTACGGTTTCAGGTCTTTGTATTTTCATATTTCTAATTTGGATCCGGCTAGACTTTAAAAGCTTAATGTTAAGATATTTAAAACTCCTGAATTATGATGATACAAGCCACCATAAAATTTACAAAATGACCAGTTGTCCCATTAAGTTGAATAAACTACAAAGAATTTATAAAAGAAATGTTACTCGCAAAACAAAACAAAACCAGAAGGAACTCATGGAAAGGAAGCCAGAAGCATGAGAGAAAAGAAAAAATTTAATATAAGAAATTTTTGATCACGCATTTTTGTTCCTCCTAATTTGTCTCACCAAAAGAGAAAATTGCTACTATAGTGTCTCAGTGCTAAAGACGCTTCTTCCACATGTTCCCTTAAGGCAGAGCAGTCACAGCTTGGCAGAGAAAGTCATTGCTACCGCCCACCCTAGCAACAACTGCTTCTGGCACCTTCCTCGCCAACCCGTCCCTACCAAATGAGGGCTCTGTCCCTCAAGGACTTTATGAAAGCACATTTTCTACTTTGCCAAAGGTATTTTATACCCATGTCACATCAAATGTACAACTGAAGATGTCATAAAGCCAGACTTAAGAACATGTCATTGGAGTTCTTCACTTAAAAAAAAAAAAAAAATTAAAACATCAACCGCCTGGTTTAAAAGTGGTGCCTTCCAGGGATTTAGAGATGTTATAAGAGAATCAGTGAAGAGGAATATGACCTGGGCCATTCTTCTGGGTTCAGGCTGGACTTATTTAACCAATCTGAGAGAGACAAAACTGACCTTATTTTAAAATACTACCTGTGAAAAAGATTTTGCAATTTCCCTGGGTAACCTTTTACGATGCTTAATGACTTTCAGTAGCAAAACTCCTTTTTTCCTAAATTAAAGGTTAACCCTCTCATTGTTTAAAATTAGATACGATACACTTTATAGTCAAAGGTGAGATGGTGCAGTTTAAGGAACATTGTTATGATTGACTTTCTTGTGATTTCCACCTCTGCATGGCTTATCTCAATATATTCTTAGAAACTTGCCTCTGCTAGTTGAAAGAGTGCAGACTTTCCACAGCGTTTTACAGGTTCAGCACCACCCAACTGCGAAGTGTTTGAAGAAATCTATATCGAAAACAATTCACATAAAAAATATTAATTGTGATATCAAAGTCCTTGCTTCCCATTCATACACATTCAGGAGCTTTCCTCAGTTTATGAGACCATTGTTGCTCCCAAGTACTAAATAACTTTAAATGTGGCATGCTTAGATTTATAATTTTGAAACCAATTTTAGTAAATAACCTTAAAAATAGTAACAAAAAATAGGTGTGACTGGTGGCTATTTTAATGACAAGAGTATGTCAGGTTTTGAATTTAATTCTATAATCTTAAAAGAAGATATGCATTTCCGTTTCTACATAAATACAAACTCATCAACTGGCCAAATATAAAAGAGCTATTTAGAGTCTATTTGTATTTACCAAAGCAATCAATTTTTTAAAACAATATATTTGGGAGCTCTGTGGAAAGGGTCTCAAGTCAGTCAAAAAATTTTTTTGGAGGAATCTAATATAAATGTGCTAAGGCAGGAGCTGGGGAAGCTGAGAAACTTACATAAAACATTGGCCCTGGCTTTGAGAGTATGCTCTAAAGTTCACACAAAAATTGACAATTAAGACCACAAATCTAAACAAGTTGTACAATTAAGAATCTATCTGGTAGTACATTAACTTATATACAACATTACACTGACTGCATATTCTTCTGAGAATCTGGCTAAACAGCAGCTGGGCACTGATTACAATGAACAGCACTATCCTTTCTCATTTATATATGGAAACTTCATTTTCAATTTCTAGCCTAACTCAGTAAACAGCTGAGAAGGACAAAGTATCTCTGTCTTTACAAAGTATGCTTCTCCTGGAGAAGTTCTGTTATCATTAATTAGAACAGCTAGCTACAGTCTAAGCTTTTTGCATTCTTAATGATTCTGAATTCTTTCTCAATTCAGGTGACAATCTTGCTTTGCAACTATATCCTTACAGGTGACCCCAGTCCCACAGAAGATTCTATGCAGCTGTCATCTCCAGGAGAGAGTGGGTACTTTGATGCTAGAAGGAGTTCTCCCTAGAATACCTGCTGCATAAGAGGCTTTAGTAGAGGCAAACATTTAATAAGCTATCTGGGCTATTTAGAAGGGTCTAATTAAGAAAGTTTTAAGGATTTTTTCTTCTTAGGTACTATCATTTTTAAAAGAGACCTTTTCTTCCTAGGTACTACCATTTTTAAAAGAGACCTCATCCCAATCACTTTATTTATGTATTTATTTTTAAAATATCAACTTATAGGGCTCAATCTTTCTGAAGTTTGGAAAATTTTCCTCTAGCTGAATTTTCTCTGATATATGTCACATACTTTTTCGAGACAAACTGAATTTAACTACTCACCTTATGACTAGACTAAGAGAAACAAACCCATTAGTATAATCATGGCCTCTCTGACTTGAGGGAATGAAGTACTGAACATGTATACCAGTCCCTTGAACCAAGGTTGTATGAGAGAGACATGGCTTTTATGTCACAGAGATGTGCCTTCATTAACTTTTTGCCGTGTAGACTTAAGCAAATAATGAAGGCTTTGAGCCTCCTTTATCTCATCTTCAAAACAGAAACATACCTGCCCCAGACTACTGCTGTGTAGATTAGATTTTATGTTAGTGAAGAGTCTGGCACAGTGCTGAGCCCATATAATGCTCTCAATAAATGATGCATTTAATAATTATAAAGATTTATTATTATTAACACTAATAAACATAAACTCTCTTAGTACAATTCCAAAAATTAGTTACACACTGAAATTGGAATGGAATTAAAAACTGCAATGTCAGGATAATTATTAAATTTAATAACTTGTAGAATATTAAATTTGTCACATATAATACCCTCAAGAATTCCTGAAGGACAGACTGGGCAGTGCTGCACTGCATAGCCCCTAACGCTGTTTCCAGTTTTCACTTGCTCCCTCTGCTGTCGTTTTTGTTGCTGTAAGTTTTGTATGTGTTTGTTCACTACTATATATCCTGTGCCGAATGCAGTTTATGGCACACCGAGAGGCTCAATGGAGAACTGTAGAGGCCATGTCATACTATCTGCTGCTATCTGAGTTCACACACGGCTGTCTGAGTCAAGGCTTGAGAACGAGTCCTTGCCTTTCCAAAGGAACTACCTATGTTTAGTAAGAATGATTTTCTTCATTGCCTGTGGGAGGATTTTTACATATAGGGCAGTATTTTAAATGCCAAAAGTTGCTGGAAGCCTGAAATCCCAAGGGGAACGTGTGGAGAAGGGTCAACGTATTTCAGCAGTCTGACATTTATAGAATCACCTAACAATAAAATTTTCATGGAATGACTTAGTGGTAAGATTCGCTTTCTAAAAATGTCTTTGGCTTATTAATCGGAATGGGGGAGTGGAAAACCGGACATACATTAATGTCTATGGCTTAAGCCTTATCTTGATTTCTCTGCAGCATTTGACATGGCTGACCCTTCTTCTGGGGAACTCTTCTCTAGGCTTCTATTACTGCAGGGTCCTTATTTCTTCCTATCTCTCAGACCACTCCTTATTCTCTTTTGTTGGCTCTCCTTTCCAAAGCGATCCTATAAATGTTTTTCCTCAGGGTTTTGCCTTAGGGCCCTTGCTCTCCGGAATCTCATCTACTCTGACAGCTTTGATAATAAGCATAGCTTGTAAGATGCTGACTTGTTATACCACTGTTCATTCTCCCCATTTCCCCCCCCATCTAAGACATATACATCCTTTAAAGTAAAAACAACATACTAACACGTTTTTCATAACTGGTCAGCTACTAGAGAGACGTGTTATGTTTCGCTCCTGCGAAGGGGGCACCAGTGGGACATACTGCATAGTGCATACTTTGCTTTTTATTTTACTCTATTTGATGATGCCTGCCAATCTGTTAACTCCGCTGTAGTCTCTCCTTTGGTTATTATAGAATGTTTTGATAAACAGGGTGGGTGTAATAGTATGTGAGGTACAGCAAAAGTGCTAAGAAAAATTATCACCCTGGATGTTAAATTGCTAATTTTATAGTTGGCCCGAGGTAGGGGAGCACACCAAGGAAACAGGTAGCAGAGATCAAAAGCAAATTAGGTAATGATAGAAGTCTTCTGCAATTATCAGGGGTATTATAAACATTGTACCCTGGCAGGAAATGACCAATAACTATTGAGTAAATAAGTGAATCAAAGGACAAATGAACAATCTGAGATGATTAGTCTTCTTTACATTAAAAGAAATATTAATGCTTCCAAGAAAACATGTTAATACTTTCACATGGATTAGCTGCACTGAGTATATGATATTTTTTTCAAGTATAATATTCTGTAATACATTGAGCATTCCATCATGAAAATGAACGCCTTCAATTTGCACCTACTGCTTATATCCACTTGTAGTAATGCCTTAAATTTGGTGTGTTTATACTGGCAAAAGTAAATATCTTTTAAGGAAAGTTTTAATATCCAAATCCATTTGTCTAAATCGCCTAGATTAGCTCTCTGTCTTCAAAGAAAATATGTAATTTTCAATGCAAATATGTACTCTAGGTGTAAGAGTCAGCCACAGAAGAGAAACGAGAATATGTAGACTGGTCATGGCTTTCGGATTTGTTAAATAATGGAAGACAATAGCTTCCTTCTGAAATTATATTTTGTCATTAGTTTTCAGAAAATTAGATCTAAGAAGTGATGTAGGTGTCTACCTGTAAACAACAGAAGATGAAGACAGGAAACTCATTCTGACTAACTTAATGGATAAGAGCCTAGAAACAGAGTGATGGCTCTTCAGATGGGCCAAGTCAAATCTAGAGAATTATGAGTATCAATAAAGAATGGGAGACAGGTTGACATGCGGGGAAAACAAGATTTTGCACTCTACAGTTCTTTCAAGATCTTGCAAAGGTGATATATTTTCTCTCTTTAAGAATTCATGAGGCACCTACAAACAAACAATGTTCATTATTCAGTTTCCTGGTTCTGTACACGTTAACTTCAATGAGTTTAAAAACTTATACATTTGGCTAAGAAAGAAAAAT